AAAGAGTCTAAGTTAGATCCTAGAGCAAAGAAAGCAGTTTATGGGATTACCTCAGGTGTGAAAGGATACGTCTTTGGTGTCCAAGTTCAAAGAAAATACTGTTTAGTAGGGATGTGACATTTGATGAGTCTTTTATGTTAGAACAAAACAGGAAGCCAGATGAAGGTTTTCAGTACTCCCAATAGAGGCATACTCAGCACAGGTGGAGTTTGAAACAACATCAGTTAGCCCCGCTGAAATGAGACTCCTATCAAAAGGAGTTCATTGGAGATGAAGAAGAGGATTCTTCCCAAGAACGTCACAAGAATCTATTCCGTTAATAGGCCAAGACGAGAAATTCGCAAGCCTGCTCGTTTTGCTAATCGGTGGCCTATGCACTCCCAATTGAAGATGGTGAAGTTCTTTCCACTTATAATGAAGTAGTTAGCAGTTCCGAAAACGGTTGAGGAAAGCCATGAAAGAAGAGATGCAGTCTCTCCATAAGAATGAAACTTGGGAGGTTGTTCAATTACCAAAGAATAGAAGGCAATTGGAACCAAATAGGTATATGCAAAGAAGAAGGATTTCCGAATTTAAAAGACATCCGATACAAGGCAAGGTTGGTGGCGAAGCTACGCTCAGAAGGAAGGAATAGATTTCAATGAGGTATTTCTCCAGTTGTTAAGCATTCTTCCATTAGAATTTTGTTGCCTTGGTTGCTTAGATGAATTTTGAACTTTTCAACTTGATGTGAAAACCGCGTTTCTACACGGTGATTTGGAAGAGGAAATCTATATGACTCAACCAGAAGGATTTAGGATTATTGGGAAGGAAGATTGGGTTTGTAAACTGAAAAGATCACTTTATGTTTGAAACATCTACAGGCAGTGGTACACGATTTGATGGTTTATGATGGGTCAGGATACACAAGAAGCAAATTTGACAACTGTGTGTATTTTCAAAGGCTACAAGGTGATACTCTCATTTATCTACTCTTATATGTTGATGATATGTTGACTGCTTCAAAGAACTAGGAGAAATTGGAAGTTAAAGGCTCAACTAAATCAAGATTTGAGATGAAGGATTTAGGGAAGCTAAGAAGATTCTCGGTATGGAGATAATTAGAGATAGAGGAAATGCAAGTGTGTTTGACACAAAGTAGTATCTAAGAAGGTCTTACAACTTTTAGCATAACTGAAAGTACAAAACCTATAAGTACTCCACTTGCTCCTCATATAAGCTTAGTGCGTCATTATCTCCAAGTACGCATGAAGAACGAGAGTTTATCAAAAGTTCCGTATCAAATGCGGTTGGTAGCTTGATGTATTCAATGGTGTGTACTAGGCCCGACATTTCACATGCATTTGGAATTGTGAGCAGGTTATGCATGATCCTGGTAAAGGACATTGGCAAGCTGTGAAGTGGATTTTACATATTATAGGTACTGTAACATTGGTTTGGTTTTGAGCGGGATGAAAATCTTAGTCAATTCGCTGTTGGCTATGTTGATTCTGATTATGCTGGTGATTTGGACAAGCGTCGGTCAACTACTGGATATGTATTTACTCTTGCTAGAGCTCCAGTAAGTTTGGAAATCTTCTTTGCAGTCTACAGTTGCTTTGTCTACTACAGAGGCAGAATACATGGCAGTTACAGAGGCTGTGAAGGAAGCTATTTGGTTACAAGGGCTATTGGATGAATTGAAATTAGTCAGAAGAAGATCACTATCTATTCTGAAGTCAGAGTGCTATTCACTTAGCAGAATCCGTATTCCACTTTTGCACCAAGCATATAGATGTTCGTTACCACTTTGTGCGGAAATTATTTCTGAAGGAAAATCTCATTGAGAAGATTGGGACTGCTGAGAATCCTGTAGATGTCTTAACGAAAGTAGTGACAATGATCAAGTTCAATCACTGTTTGAACTTGATCAACATCCTGCGAGCTTGATTTGCTTTTTGGCACATTTGAAGTGTTGCAAAATTTGACAGAAGAATACAAAACTTTGAAGGTTTGCTAATTCGCCAAGGTGAGATTTGTTGAAAAATGGCTTTTAGCAAATCATATGGGGTAAAATGATAAGGAGAAAGGTTTTTGGGACTTTAATAATAGGCCAAAAAAGGTTAGTTTGTCCCACATTGATTAGGATTGAAAAGTGGGAAACTTTTGGGGGCCTATATATAAGGACCTAAATCAATGTTAATTGTATCCCAAGTTTGTAATTCCATTATACTTCTTTTGTTTAGGGTTCTTTCTTTAAGGACCGTTTAGTTTGTAAGTTTTGTTGTATCTCCCTTTTGTTTTGGGTATTTGTTGTATTGCCTAAATATTTGTAATGTTTTGGAGATAGTAGAGTTTTCTTTTGCAGCGCCCGAGGACGTACGTTTCAATACCGAACCTCATTAATTCCTGGTATTCTTTATTTTTGCATTTAATTTTGGCTATTTATTTATGCTTTACTTCTTGTTATTATTATATTCAATAGCTAGCGTTAGAGTTTATGTTTCCGTTGCATAACAATGTGTTTGTGTGTGTGTCTGTTTTTGTTTGTCAGCTCAAATATTACTGACAAATTTTTACTGCATTTTTTGCTGTATACTAATCAGTTTCTGGGGCTTTGTCTTTAGGCTCTCAGTTGGGTGTTTCTCTCTGTGCCATTGCTTTCTGTTTAGTCTCAATGTTGGTTCTTTTGATTTGCATGCTGTTTCTCTGATCTGGATTTGAGTTCTTTTGTTTAAAAATGATGGCTTTTCAATTTTGAGAAGGCCGTGTTTTAGAAATTTTGTTCCTTTTGTGTGTGTGTGTGTGTTTTGGTTTCTGGGTATGTGGGTTTTTAATTGAAAAGATTGGTTTTGAGGCAAGGTGGTGCTTTTATATATGGGGGGTTATTGATTGATTGATTGATTGTTTGTTTGTTTATGCAATTTGGGTTTTGTTTATTCTAGTTGGGTTTTGATTCTCACTGTTGTTTGGGGTTGATGTTTGGTGCAATGTGGTGTTTTTGTGGCATAAGAATTGAGTTTTAGGATTCAGGGAAGATGGGATTAGGTCCTGATGCTATTCATGTGGGGACTTGGAGTGTTGGTAAATCAAAGATAAAGAAGAAGAAAGGTGATGAATCCGGGGAGACTGGTTCAGGGTGTTGGTTTAAGTTTAGGTTTATGGGAAGCTGCTTGTCTTCAAGGTCCAAAAGGGATGGTTCCATTAGTGGCACTAGCACTCCTTATGGTATTATATAAGCTCTTTTTAGATATTGGTTCATTATATAATATGCTTAATTGTTTACTCTATTATCATCTATTTGTTGTTAAATGCTGTTTGATTCTTGGCTATATCATTTTTTCTCATATTATTTGTCTGTTTGGCACATTGCGCTTTAAAAATGTATAATTTATCTGATTTGTATATCTAGCTATGTAATGTTATGATCGTATTCTATCTGTATGTTTGGCTCCATTACGATAAGAATTTTGGAGTCCTACGATTTATCTGATTCGATTAAGTTGTGTCTTTGTTGGATTCGATTCTTTTTTCCCTGCTTATGATATGATGCTCATTTGGCATAATGATCTCACCATAGAATGTTAATGAATTCTTTTGTCGTATAGCATATTATGTTGTGATCGATTTCCATCTGTGTATGCTTGGTGGATGGTAGTTCAATAAGTGTTTAATTGTCTAGATTTACCGAGACAGTTGCTAATAATTATTGTTTTGTCGTTTCTCATTTATGACTGAATCATGAAGGTGATGACTGTATAGGAATCAGAACACGTTGTCGCATCTGGCTAGTGACTTTTTTCACCTCTGTTTTGGTGGATAAAACAACATTTGTCAGCTATTGATTCTCTGAATGCATGTATGTGCTTCAAAACTGCTTGTTTGGATATATTGAAGACAGTGATAGTTTTTTAGTTTGTTCTATGACAATAAGGCATAACACATTTTTCATGCATATTTAAAGGAAAATGCTTTTATAGTTTCCACAAGCATATAATAGACTGACCACTGGTGAGGAGTGCTCTAATTATAGGTTTTTCAAGTACATATATGAAAGTGTTGCTACCAAATTTGGGAATTAAACTCTGTAGACTTTCAACTATTTCATATTTCTGTTCAAATTTGTCTCCTCCCAGAGCATTAGCAACTGTATTCACTTTAGTGTTTCCTTCTCGTTTACAACTTTTTTATGGATTCAATGCTTCCTAGGTGGTTTAAGTCAATCATTGACTTATATGGGTTCAATTTAATTACAAAGTTAAAATCCATGTATTGTCATTCATAATATGCACATGTATGGACTTGTATTTGTTGGAATGTATTTGTTAGTGTTCTTGTGCTGGAGTTTAGCAAAGAAAAGAAAAGGTGCTGGACAGGATAAAGAGAGTTGCGTTTTTCTGCATTTAAAATGAGTTTTTAATTGCAGCAGATAAAGGAAAGTTTTTACACTGACTTATACCTACTTTGCAGACATATAAAAACTTAAATTAATCCTAAGCCACACACCTAATGTCAACTAACAACTACATCATCAGAACATCCCTTACAATCTGGAATGCGTATCACACTTTTACAAAATGAACTAAAATTGCAGCATATCAAATACACCCCTGGCAGACTTCAGTTCAGGTTTTGCTGCCAACTTACTTTCAAAAGACTTCAACAAAACTACTGCATTTCCAGCCATGCATCAACGTTCAACACTCCTCCTTGATGGTTGGCTGGAAACACCAAGTCTGAATCTGAATTCTTCAAACTTGGCTTTGGAGACAGCTTTGGTCATAATGTCAGCCACTTGCAATTCACTCCTGCAATGCACAAGTTTCACTTCACCATTTTGCTCAGCCTCTCTCCCTACATGAAACTTTATTTTTATGTGCTTTGTGCGTCCATGTTGCACAGGATTCTTGGCCATAGCTACTGCAGACTGGTTGTCACACATGATAGNTATATATAGAAGAGTAACATGGGAAAACCTCAATAATAGAAGTTTATTGAGCATAATTTTACCGTAATCACATATGTAAAATTGCCAATCACCATGTTCACATATTCCCGTTGTTGTAATTCGGTAGGATTAGGAGTATTGTTGATGAAAGACAAGTAGTCAACGCCTCCAAAGCTAGACAAATATATTGCACCGGGTAGTATCTTTTTGGCCTTTGCATCTCTGAGTTGTTGCTCAATAAATTGGCCACCTCCTTAAAATAGCTTAGCTGTTTTTGGCTGTAAAGCTATAAAAATTAAAAGCATTGTCAAGATATATTTTGCTCCAACAATAGTAATTCATTTGAATAAAATGCTTTACATACCGTATCTGGATCAGTTTCTTCAAGAACACGAGCTCTAGCACTTGCAAAATTAGCTCCATTGCTAAAATTATGACTTCCAGGTTGTAAGTATGGTTCCCAGAGTGGTAAATTTGAGTACATTGCTGCATTATTTAACTAAAAAACACAATTAACTTTGAGACGGGTCGACATAATCGTAATTCACTAGATAGCTACCATACCAGCAAAGTCAGGGACTGTACAGCCATCACAGACTCTTCCAGTCAGATATTCGAAAAAAACTCTCTCCATATGGTATAAAATTCGCCCTGTATTCAATGTTAACATAGAGATAGTTATTGTTTACTGGATCGTAGACTGAATTTCCAAACACAAAGACGACAGCATGTTTGTTATTAGCTTGCCTGGACTCATCACCCTGAGATCTTGCTGGAGCAATAAGAAGGCTAGATTATGTTAGTGTTCTTGTGCTGGAGTTTAACAAAGAAAAGAAAAGGTACTGGACAGGATGAAGAGAGTTGCGTTTTCTGCATTTTGAAATGAGTTTTAATTATAGCAGATAAAGCAAAGTTTTTACACTGACTTATACCTACTTTGTAGACATATAAAAACTTAAATTAATCCTAAGCCACACCCTTAATGTCAACTAACAACTACATCATCAGAACATCCCTTACAATCTGGAATGGGTATCACGCTTTTACAAAATGAACTAAACTTGCAGCATATCAAATACACCCCTGGCAGACTTCAGTTCAGGTTTTGCCGCCAACTTACATTCAAAAGACTTTAACAAAACTACTGCATTTCTAGCCATGCATCAACGTTCAACACTCCTCCTTGATGGTTGGCTGGAAACACCAAGTCTGAATCTGAATTCTTCAAACTTGGCTTTGGAGACAGCTTTGGTCATAATGTCAGCTACTTGCAATTCACTCCTGCAATGCACAAGTTTCACTTCACCATTTTGCTCAGCCTCTCTCACTGCATGAAACTTTATTTTTATGTGCTTTGTGCATCCATGTTGCACAGGATTCTTGGCCATAGCTACTGCAGACTGGTTGTCACACATGATAGCAGTAGCCTTGTTCTGTTTCAGCTTCAAGTCATCAAGAATTTTCCTTAACCAAATGGCTTGATTCACAGCTGTAGTAGCTGATATGTACTCTGCTTCAGCTGTGGATTGAGCCACAGTTTCCTGTTTCTTAGAAAGCCAGCAGATAGCACCATGATTCAGGAAGAATGCAAAACCTGAAGTGCTTCTCATATCATCTGTTGAACCAGCCCAATCACTGTCCGAATAACCAATCAAACTGAAGTCCTCTGATCTCTTGAACCACACCCCATAGTCAGTGCTTCCTCTCACATACCTCAGTACCCTTTTTGCTGTTTTGAAGTGTGTTTCAGTTGGATTACTCATAAATCTGGACAGCAGACTGGTTGCATACATTAAATCTGGCCTAGTCGCTGTCAAATACAGCAGACATCCTATTAAACTCCTATACAAACCTTCATCAACTTTCTCACCATCCTCATTCTTTGACAGTTTCAAATTTGGAACTAAAGGCAGATTTACTGGTTTGCAGTTTTCCATGCAAAACTTCTTTAAGACTTCACTTGCATATCTTCTTTGGTTCACAAAGATCCCATCCACATGTTGATCAATCTCCATTCCAAGGAAGTAAGAGATTCCACCCAAATCAGTCATTTCAAACTCACTTTGCATGGATTTCTTGAATTCATCCACTTGAGTTTGATTGCTTCCAATAACTAGAAGATCATCCACATATAGAGAAATAATCATCAAGTCATCTTTAGCTTCTCTAATGTAGAGCGTGTATTCATTTGGACTCCTAACAAAATCCAAATTCAGCAAGTGGTCATTAATCCTGCTGTACCAGGCCCTTGGAGCCTGTTTTAGGCCATACAAGGCCTTCCTCAACATATACACCTTTCCTTCTTGTCCGTGGATCACATATCCTTCAGGTTGTTCAATGTAGACCTCTTCATTCAACCAGCCATTCAAGAAGGCAGATTTTACATCCAATTGGTGCACCTTCCAGGAGAATTGAGCAGCCACTGCAAGTAGCAGCCTAATGGTGTCATGTCGTGCAACTGGAGAAATGTCTCCAGGAAATCCACTCCATACTACTGAGCAAATCCCCTAACTACAAGCCTGGCCTTATGCTTCAGAATTGAGCCATCTGGATTCACCTTTTTTCTGAAAATCCACTTCACCTGGATAACTTTTCTGTTTTTTGGTCTATCCACCAACTTCCAGGTTCGGTTTTTTTTCAATCATGGCCAACTCCTCCTTCATGGCACTCCTCCAGGATTCTAATTGTGCAGCCTCTAAATAACTTGTAGGTTCCATTTGAGCTAAGTTGCACCTGTCATACACATCAGCAAGTGTTCTGGTTCCCCTAACAGCAACTTTTCTTCTGATTCTTCTACTGAATCTTCTTCAATTTGGTCAGGTTGAACCTCACTCAGTTGAGGCTGTGTATCTGCATCAGCTCTTCCCTTTCCCCAGTTCCAGATTCCTCTTTCATCAACCTTAACATCCTTGGACACCACAACTTTTCTAGAGTCAAGAATATAAATTCTGTAGGCCTTGGATTGGCTGCTATAGCCAATAAAAATTCCTGTCACAGCCTTATCTTCTAGCTTAGTCCTCTTTGCAGGTGGCACTAGAACATAGCAAAGGCTTCCAAAAATCTTCAGTTCATCCACTGCTGGTTTGACTCCAGTCCAAGCTTCAAAAGGTGTTTGGTTTTTTAAGGCTTTGGTGGGAATCCTATTGCGTAGGTAGACACTTGTGTTTGCTGCTTCTGCCCAAAATGGTTTGGGAAGATTTTTCTCAGCCATTAAGCATCTTGCCATTTCCATGACTGTCCTGTTTCTCCTCTCACAAACTCCATTCTGTTATGGAGTGTATGGCTGCTGTATTCATGTCTTATTCCAGCTTCAGTGCAGATTTTTTCAAACTCTTGAGAAGTGTATTCAGTGCCATTATCACTTCTCAAGGTTTTGATGGATTTTTCTATCAAATTCTCTACTTTTAGTTTGAGTTTCCTAAATGTTACAGCCACCTCATTTTTCTATTTTAGGAAATAAATCCACCCCATCCTAGACCAATCATCTATGAACAATACAAAATACTTGCTTCCATTGAGTGATAAGGTTTGCATGGGGCCACATACATCCGAGTGAACAAGCTGGAGTTTTTCAGAGGCTCTCCAAGCTTGGTTAACTAGGAATGGTTTCCTACTCATCTTGCCTAGTTGACACACTTTGCACACACCTCTCGGCTGCTCAATAATAGGCAGATTATGGACTAGATTTTTGGACTGCATTTCAATCAAGTTTCTATAGTGTACATGGCCTAGTCTGTTGTGCCACATTTCAGTTTCATCCTCCCTAACATTGCATGCTGTATGTGGTGTAGCTTTCCAGATTATTGGAAAGCTTTTCCCAATCATTTTCACTCTCAAAACCTCATTACCCTCATTGTCTTGAATAATGCAGGATTGTTTTTGAAAATGCAGTGCATAATTCCTTTCTAACATTTGCCCCACACTCAAAAGACTTTGATTTATATTAGGTGCATAAAGTACATTTGAGATTAGCTTTGTACCTTTTGGAGTTTGGATTGCAACATCTCCCTTGCCTCTTGCTTCCACACACTCTCCATTCCCAACCTTGATCTTTGATCGATGAGAGTAATCTATGTTCACAAAGCTACTCAGATTAGGTGTCATGTGATGTGTGCACCCATTGTCAATCAGCCATGTATCATCACAAGTTTGGATCAAGCTAGATGAGGCCATAAACAGCTGCTCTGTCTCCTGCATAGGTTGTTGTTCATCAGCTATTTGAGCTTACTGTTGGGGCTGCTCTCCCTTGTTTCTGCATGCTTTTTCAATATGCCCAAACTGTTTGCAAGCCCTACATTGTATACCAGGTCTGAACCAACATTTATACTCTGCATGTCCCTTCTTTTTACAATAAGAACAAGCTGGAAAATTTTGCATCCCACCAGCTTTGTTCCATTGGTTGTTGGACCTTTCTTTTCCTCTCTTTTCTCCAGCAGACTTTTTATAATTTCCTTGGATAGGTTTGCCCTTGTAGGTTGCCAGCATTGCCCCTTCATTTGCATCTTCAAGCCTTAGGAGTCTTCTTTGCTTTTGTGCCTGCAGAGCATGGACCAGCTCAGTCAAAGTGATCTGAGTTAGGTCCTTTGAGTCCTCTAAGGATGAAATCTTGGCTTCAAACCTTTCCGGCAAACTCACCATTACCTTCTCCACTATTCTGCTGTCCAACATTTCCACTCCAAGTAATCTGATTTTGTTGACAATGCTCATCAGCCTGTCAACATATTCTTTCACTTTCTCAGCCTCTTGCATTCTTAAAGATTCAAACTCCCTTCTTAAATTCAAAACCTGCATGTTTCTTGTAGTGCTACTTCCCATGAACTCTTCTCTCAACTTGTCCCATGATTCCTTGGCTATTTCGCATGCCATGATCCTTGTAAAAACAAGGTCTGTGACAGCTGAGTGGATATGGGACAGGGCTCTTGGAGCCTTTGATGCTTCCTCTTTATGCATTCGAATTTGGTTGAGAGTGGGATTTGGTCCCAGCTGAGGGGGTTGTCTCTCTTCCTCTACATACTGCCAGAGTCCTTGGCCCCTTAGGTAAGCCTTCATTTTGACTGGCCAAATATGGTAGTGTTCACCGTTGACACAAGAGGTAGAAGAGAAGCTGTTAGGGTAGTCATTTGCTCAAGAGAAGACAGGTCTGATGCAAGGCAGTTTCTCGGTGGGCTGGATAAGTTGTTTGGAGAAGAAAATGTTCAGTTTTTTGTTGGAATCAACCAAGCTCTGCTACCATGTTAGTGTTCTTGTGCTGGAGTTTAACAAAGAAAAGAAAAAGTACTAGACAGGATGAAGAGAGTTGCGTTTTCTGCATTTTGAAATGAGTTTTAATTACAGCAGATAAAGCAAAGTTTTTACACTGACTTATACCTACTTTGCAGACATATAAAAACTTAAATTAATCCTAAGCCACACACTTAATGTCAACTAACAACTACATCATTAGAACATCCCTTACAATCTGGAATACGTATCACACTTTTACAAAATGAACTAAACTTGCAGCATATCAAATACACCCCTGGCAGACTTCAGTTCAGGTTTTGCCGCCAACTTACTTTCAAAAGACTTTAACAAAACTACTGCATTTCCAGCCATGCATCAACATTCAATAGATTACAACATAAACATTGTTTAGAGAAGACTCTGTATAGATGAAGCTGCCGCCAATTCCATTTTCCTTGAAGAATTCTATTCCACAAAAGATTCTTAGTTTTAATTAACAACTAATTAGCAACTAAGTTTTAATTAACAAAATTTGTATGCGTATAGTTCC